AAAAAAAAAAAAAAAAAAAGACCCTGCCAAAATAAGCTCAGCCAAGGACCAATTCAGCGGCATGAATTCAATTAGCTAAGCTGCAAATTTTACAAAGAAATGCAATACACACATGTTGCCACCGCCTGATTTCCTCGTCGGGTTCCCTCATTTAGGAGAAAGCCCCCACTTTCCCGTCTCCCCACTCCCCGCATCTGCAGGCTTGGGCCCTGGGACTTGTCCCTCCCACAGCCACTATTCAGCTGGGACAGCTTTTGCTGCTGCTGGTTTTTATTAATAAGGGAATTGCCTCTATGAATGGATGAACTTTGCCGTTTCCAATCCTGCTTTACTCTTTCACTCTCGGCAACATTTTTCTACGTTAAATACCTTAAATACTCAAGCAAGCACCTATTGGCATTAACACCTATGTTAGCTGTGTTAAAACAAGCCTGAAAACGCATTAAATACTTTAAGAGCTTGAAAATCGCTTTTTTCTCCCCCCACAAATTCTCACTCCATGGCGTTATCGGTGGCTAAAAGCTATCCGGGGACAGACAGGTCACCAGGAGCTGTCACTGCACCTGCCGGCCGTTCGAGGGCTCCCAGTACCTTGAAACCTCACGATGGGCTCCTTCTCTTTTAAAAAAACTCTTAAATAACCCCAAACGTGTCTCTCCCCGTTTCCCCCCGTTTCTTCTGGAAATGATTGCAAAAGGGCACTAGGTGGCACTGTTGAGGTGAGAGGAGCAGCGCGGCGCTCCGGGACCCGGCGCTGGGCGGTGGATGCGCGTTGGTTCCTGCGAGCCCTGGGGACATTGGGACGTGTATTTGTCCCCGGCTCCTTCCTCTAGGCCCGCCGGGGTGGCTGCCGCTGTGGAAGGCGGCCGTGTCCCCCCGCAGAGCTGTGGCACAGGGGGAAGATCTCCCGCGTGCGCTCGTCGTGTCCGCGCAGCCTTCCCAAGGGAGCAGCTACCTGCACAGAGCCGTGCTGGAGTGCTGGAGGAAATACCCACCCTGCGTCAGATGTTCAGGTGTGCCCGGCCGCTGCGATGCGCTCAGCCACGGCTCTCGGCATGGAAGGGAGGTGAGAACTGCAGATGTGGCTTTAGGTGGCACATGAAAGTGGAGCTCCTCGAGAAATCTGTCTCAGGTCACAAACCTTTCTCTGGTTTAGGCCAGAGTTTCACGATGATTTTAACCAGGCGGTGCTGGCAAAAGGAGCTCTCTTGCCCTCCTCCTGTGTCAGGTGCCTCTGTCCTACCTCTGCACAGTCTTTTTGCATGTGTCTGGAGGCCTCACCTAGCTTAAATATAGCTCTTTGAGGAGAAAAAAAAAAAAAGAATGAAGAATGAGTAACTTGGACAGGGAGAAGGTAGGACAGCTGCTTTCAGCAACCATTTGGTTTAGGATGGTTTAGAGTGCCCTTCAAAGTATATCACAGTTTAGCAAGCACAAAGGTGCTGAAGTCGGGTGCTGCTTCAGGCTTTCTGCTTTAGGCAGCATCATACCATTGGTCTATCTACCCTCAAATGATCAAAGTGTCTCATGTGGCAAGGGGAAACTTGTGATATGTGTTCCAAAAGTCAGAAGGTATCAGGAGAGCTACCCAAAACCCTGCCCACGTGAGCCACCACCCAGAAATACACAGGGTAGAAAAGTCTTCCATAAACCAGGCTTATAATATGATAACATTTGCCGTTTTGCCAGGTGAAGAACGACCATCAAGCTTTGCCAACATCACACATGTTCACAGTGTTGTAACCAAGTCCTCTGACTCTATGCAAGAGTTAAAGCATGGTTTCCTGGCATCAGGCTTTCTCTCTGGTGCTGCCAGAGTAAAGAGAGGATTAGGTGTTAGCATGTATGGCCCACGTCCACGGTTGGACACAGCTACCCTGCAAAGCTGTCCTTCAGAGAGCTGGTGCTACCAGCTTAACTTGGCTTCACCATGGGTCCCTGCTTGCCTTGCCCTGACTCAGGAACACATGCACGGGAACCCTAAAGATCTGGGACCATTTTTGAAATTAAGTTTTTTTGGGAGAGGGGGCTGTTAGTAGCCACGTTTCTTTTGAACTGTTATTTCTTTGTTCTGTATTCCATTTTAATGTTTTAAATTTGATGGCTGAGCGCCTCCTTGACTGACGCCTATATATTACTCCGGAAATACGCAGCGTCTCATTGGCTTAATCCTGTCTTCTTTAGGCTTGAACAGGGATCAAGAGCCAGAGTCCAGTGAGGCACAAATCTGTGTGTCCTTCTTGAGTTACAGGGGCAGTAATAGCAGCCCTTAAATCATATTGAAACTTTGTTTTAGAAAATGACATAATGGGAGTGGTGAGTCTCTCATGTCCACAACTACTTCCTTCTCAGCCATAGCTAATGTTGTGTGATCGTGCTTTTACGACAGCAGGATAACGTAGGTCGCTGAAGCCTACCAGGAAAGAATTAAAGTAGGAGGATATGATTAATGCCAATCCACACAGTGCTATCGAAAACAGATGTAGGTATATTTAGTTGAGAGTATATCACATCTATGTTTATATATTATGTTACATCGACATGGTTACCACTATCAAACAAAACCTGATTTCTTATCAGATTTTATAATCACAGTCAGTGGGAAGAAGGATTTCTTGGCTGTCACTGTCCTTAATGGCAGATGACCATTGCCAGCAGAAGAAAGATCTTGAAAAATCCTGACTTCTTTCTCTGATGAGGCAACGAGTTTGTCTGACAAAGGTCAGGCAAAATGCATTTAGATTTTGTTGAGTGTTTGACATAGACTATGGCTAAATAAACTAATTACCACAGAGCAAAAGAAAGGCATGTCAGCAGTTCTCTAGTGACTGTCGAGCCCTTGTTTTTACCCAGAAGAAACTGTTCATTGTGCGTTTTTTTTCCTGCATATCCTTTTCCATCACCTTCAAACATCCCTATCCCCTTCTAAATGCACACACTCCCATCTACTTGTTCCTTTGATCCAACACACGATCTGTAGTACTTAGTGATGGGTTCAGTGAACCGATCTGGTTTAAAAATAACTGCAAACATGAGACCCATTTACTATGTGGTTATATAGACTGTCTGCTCAGAGTAATAGGAAGGAGGGCATTTTCTGGGGGTGGAAACAAGCAGGCAGCAGGAGCAGGAACTGTCCTCAATGCCATCTTCAGTGACACTGCTGCCAGAAAGATACAGAGAGAGACATTCCCTTGGTGGCGTTGAGGTGATTTAGCCCGTCCACACTGCAGAGATCTTACTCCTCATCTTCTGTAAGGTCAGGATTTCCATACAGCCCTTGATTGCAGATCAGTGAGCGTGCCAGAGCTTATCAGAAAGAAAAGCAAAAAGCAATCTGATGGCAGCGCCTCGTTGTCCTCCCTACAAGAGAAAGCCATGTAATAATAATCATCTGCTTCGTATGAAAGGGAAAGGCAAAGAAGAATGATGGCTAGATGTTGAAATCAGATCTATTCAAATGAGAAGTGAGGCAACCATACCTAATAGTAAGTTTTCTTAAACAGTTGTCTGAACAATGAAGGGGAGTGGTGGATTCCTGTGTTTTGAAATCTTCTGGATGCTTTTTTGGAAGTTTAATGCAATTTATTGGACCCAATACAAGAATAACTGAATGAATTTCCATAACCAAGATGACAGACTAAATGATCGAACAGTTTGTTCCAACCTTAAACTCCCCAAAACTATGAACAACTGAGCTGACGTCTGGTAAGTTCCACATCTATTTTCCTGTATAGGAGAATCTACCATAAAGGGTAGAGTTGCAAAAACTGATATGAGTGTAAATGAAAGCAGAATCCTGCCTTAAGTTATGGTTTTATGGCAGCTGAGAATCCACTTGTGGATTTTAATATAAATGTCATTGGCAGTTTGAGAGTCATAAAGACTGGATGCAGACAGATCTAAAACACTGGTTGTTTTCACTATATACTGAATCACTGAGGAAGCTACCAGCATTTTGAACATTTAAATCTAAAGTTATTTTAAGTGAAGCTTTACAGGATTTGGAGAAAACCACTTGTCTTTAAAATGAAATCAATCCTGCAAAATTGAAACTTTCCAACAATTTCACTTTCATGTAGCAGAGAAAGCCATAACTGACACCAAGAGTTAGACATCAAAAGCAGACAGATTCAGACCAGAAATAAGGAATGCCATTTGGATACGTCCAGAACTCTTAGCTAGAATGGGCTGTGATTGTGAGCAAAACTGACCTTCTGGATAGTTTGAAGTGGTGAGTTTTACTGTGTAACCAGCATGGAGGAGAAGTAAAAGCAGATCAGCTAGAGGTTTGTCTTGTGGATTCTAAATTAAGAGAAATGACTTAATCAAATGCCTATAGTCTAATGTGACAGTAGTGAGGGCCCAATTTAGAATGACTTGATGCTATTTTTAAATACCAGCTGTATATTCCATGTAGGAGCCATAGATAACATCACAGAATAGAATGAGCACATGCAATTGGGAGATATATAAGCTATGTCTGTATAAATTAACTAAGCTGAACAGAGCCAAGTAGCTCAGGGACTGGTACATGGTTATCCATGCTGTGTACCTGCTAGCACAGCTCCTGGCAGGACTGGTCTGGACCCTGTGAGGAGCATGAGCCTAAGTGAAGAGGGTCACAGGCTACCCAGGCCTCTCGCAGCTTTGTGCCCAACACCTCGCTGTGCTTCACCTCCCTGCAGAGTTGGGGCAGTGCTGCTCCTTTTGGCGACTACATGGGAACCAAGACATGAGGACCCGCAAAGGTATTTAGATGCTTAGTCCTCACTGACCAAAATGAGCAAGTGAGACCTTCCTAAACTGGATGAGATTTAAGTGTGGGCTCAGGACACCCTTTTTACTCACTTATAGGCAGCTCTGTTGTCTGTTGCTAGTACTTACC